TTCTGAGGCATCCAATTCTCCTCATGCACCCAACAGGGAGCCCAAGTGCCCAGCTCTGGACCTGAGATTACACTTAAAATGTCAGCACTGTATGTGCCTAACTTACAGACACCAAGGCCTTTTTTTGGATCTAGGCCTTCAGCCATAGCTTGTTCAATGTTGTTTCTTCCTAACTCAACAGTAGCATTTAGATGTGCAGGATGAAGTAAACCCATTGCATTTGTACTGGAGTTCAGTTCCGTTTCCCACTTGAAAATAGCAAACGTGACATCTCCCTCTCCATGGGAGAGCCCCCTGAAGCTGGTACCTTCAGCAGTGAAGCCCAGACGAGGGTACAGAACCCAGGTCTCCACTTCCTGGGCGGGTGCTTTAACAGCTGGGATTCTACTAATAAAATGCTTTGCAGCATCAGCTTCTCTTCCTCCTCCCATCATGTTCCCAAAGTACTTCTGCTTCTTTCTAATTCCTGCCTTAACCTCTTTGCAATAGAAAGTGACATTGCTTCACGGGTAATAGGAGGAAAGAAAGTACTAGTGGAAATCTCACAGATCTGATGGATTTTCAGGCACTTAAAAAAAACCCAAAAAACCCACTTGTGATGTTTACAGAAAACCACAAATGCACCTCTAAAACTTTTTGATACTGTGTGAAAAACTGCAAGTCTTTGTTAGCTTAAAAAAAAAAACACCCCAGGAAAGTGCTTTTGGATAAAAATGTGTTACATCCAGATTTCTTGTATTCATTTAATGTCAGCTTTCAAGGTGTTTTAAAACAAAAGACTTCACAGAACAGTTACTTACATGCCTAATGCCAGGAGGGATAAATTATTTCTCTCTATCATCTTAGCAGGAATAATACATGCAATCATACCTGCCAACTGATCTCCTAGCTAAACTAACATAACAATCAAGCTAGTTCAGGATTTTGTTCCTTATTTTTCATACTAGCAAATTAAGCCAAATATACAGCTTCCACTCCACTTCTCCCAGGAGGTTATCTGTCACAATCACCACATTTGAAACCCTTATTGATGTCTTTTCATTACAAAAAGCATGGCATCCAGTCAGATCTCTGTGATCTCTCTGGAGAGTTCTTCCTAAGTTCATCTACTTCAATCAACACCTTAATGATCTGTCTATGAATCCATATTTCAGATGACTGAGGCATACACAATTACCTTCACAAATAGCACTGTTGTGTACAAGATTTGATATATACTCTTAATGATGATTATTAAGGAAAGCAGGGCTGAATTTCTCCTTTCATACTAAAGTAAGTTAAGAGTTAACCCTACTAGAATAACACTGAGGTACTGTTGAAAGCAGTGACTTTGGGGATGCACTGGAAGGGGACGCATCCAAATCCTATTTGCTTCATTGAAGATTGTAAAAAAAAAAGCCCCAGACAATGAAACTGGAAAATTTAATTGGAATGCTTCCCTGCTGAAATGTATTTTTCCATTGTGTCCTGTGTATCCCGGCTATCTAGAAGGACCATTTAATAAGCCTTAAGGGGGAAAAAAAATTCAAGGCACAAAACCCTGATTTAGTTTAGATGGATTGTTCAGAGAAAGCAGGCATGCAAGATGTAAACAGGTCACGTTTCTAAGCAAACTGCCTCTGACAGTGTTGCTCAAGTCCAAGGTCATTGAAGAGGCACGGGCAGAACTTAGGGCATGTTTCATCACAACGTGTGTCTGTCCACACGCCCCACCTTTGCTACGACGTCCACTCACCCAGAGGCAGGTGTCCACCTCAAGCCCCCAGCGCCTGCTGATGTTGTTGCCCTAGGCTTTTCCTCTGCTTGCTCTCTGCCCCGTCCCTGCAATGCAGGGCTCACCTATGCTCAGGGCAAGGCTCACCGGGTCTTCTCAAGCATTGCTACCCCTGCCAGGATTCCTCGTCTCCAGGTAGCCTCAGGCCAGGAGTCTGGTCACAGCCTCTCCTTGGCTCCTTCACCCTGACCCCACAACCTCTCCAGACGGCCTGTCCAGAAAGCCATTGCTTCTTCCAGCCACTCCGCACTGCAGAGTCATACCCCAAGTCATTCCTCTCACACAGCTTCCAAACAGGAACCCAGCATGTCTCCTTCCTTGCTGCCAGCAGTCTTGATGATACCTCCCTACCCCTTCTCCAGCAAATCATGCTTCCTCCTAGCTCCCAGGGGAATTGCATGCAGACCAGGGAGCTGCTGGACCCAGCCCTGCCCCAAAGGCCCCAGGTAGGCTGAGACACCTAGCAAATGAGTGAAATGCAACAGCACAGGAATATGCAACCAGATTTCAGGGGTGTTGGTTGTAGCTGTGTTGGACATAGGCAGACAAGTTTCTTTGGGTAGATGTGATATATTTTCTTAGACCAACTAAATAGTTGGAAAAAGTGTTCTGTGCAAGCTTGCAGGCACAAACACCCTTCTTCAGGCCTAGGGAGAGTCCAGATTTCAATATTTCAAGTCCTGAGTGTTCAAAGACAATGAATCAGTCCTCAAAAAATTATCATGAAATTAGCTTTTTAAAATCCCACATTACCAGTGCTTGAAGCATAACTGCTGTGGGGCAGAGATGAGACTGGTCCGTGGCTCATATTTGAACACTGCTGTATTCTTTTCCTACCATAAATGTAAAATTCTCCATATTACTACCCTAACTTTTCCAGTCTGCATGTGTGCCCAGCAATTCAATCTGCTTTATGATAATAGTTATTATAGTATGACATCATACAATTATTAGATTAATGATTATGATTATGGTAGCACCTAGTTTGTGCTAGGAGCTGTACAGATGGCAAGGGAGAACTTCTGCTCTGAATAGCGTGTACGTGGGAAAACCTCCCATTCATACTGCATGCTGTACAGTGGGGAAAGGGAAACTCACTTGACTTAGCAATGTGCAAACTTTGCTTCATAATTTCTGTGACCTTTATTATGGACCCTATGTGAGGAAAGATTTCAGAGCGCTTATTATATAAACTATCAGCAACAAACATGCTATTCATCTCCGGTAATGGGAGCCCTGGTGAAAAGGGCTGATTGTTCTCTCAGCAGCTCCTCTGCGACTTTCTGTTTTGCTTTGATTTTCCCCAAGGCATCGAAAGCAGAGGAAGGTGGTTTGGCAGGACATTCTGCACTCAGGGAGTAGGAGATGGACAGTCCCGTGTTGGACCCAAGCTCTTGGGGGTGGGGGGAAAGAAAAGTCCTGAGAAGAACCTGGCTGCTGTAGCCATTTAGCTGGGGTGCTGCAACTACTCGCACAGACACAAGGCCTTGATTTTTTTTTGTAAACAGAGGTCTAGCCAACAGCTGGACAGGACACGCGGGGCCCTACTATGCATTCATATGAAAGCTGGTTAGAAACCAGCCACAGAGTCATTACACATTTTCAAGCACTAACTTTATAGCTGACTGGCTCTTTAGTAATATTTATCCTGTGATCATGGCTTTGCATGTGGGGCTGGTCTAAATTTATTGCAGTTTATCGTGTGATAAGTACTTTGTATGTGTCGACATTTATTGTGTGATTGACTAGTCAATTGTGTAATGTATACAACGTGTAACAGGGGTCTCAGAAACACAGACACAAAGCAGCCCATCCTACTGCCCCTGTGCTGGTGACGTGGTGGAGGAAGGCGTGCAGGTGGATGCACGTAGAAGCATCTGTCTGCTTCTAACACATCTTTCTTCCTAGCACAGAAGTCCCTGCATAGCTTAGGGGATTGGAAATTTGTCCCATAGGATTTATTGCGGGCAAGGGGGATGTACAGAAGAACATAGCATTGCCATTTCATGATCCAGGTCACTGTACCCTCCAGCCTCCACACACTGCCGCGGTGTGACTGGGCAAGACAGACCCCATCTTCTCTAATGTCGGGGTTTCCAAACTACTAAATGGCAAAGAGAATGTCAACGGGGACTGAGTCTTGACTGTCTCCCACCAGAAAAGAACGGGGGTTGCCACCTGAAACAAGCAGGCAGTTTCGAACAGCCTTTTTCACCTGGCGTACCATGAAAGCATGGAGCCTTTGGCCACCAGCCATGATGGCAGCTGAGAGCTTCACCTGGTTCAACAGTAGCCGGGATGTCTCCTTGGGGAAGAAATGGGCATCCGTTGCTACTGAGCAAGGCATCTGTCCTTACTGAGAGCTTCACCCAGTTCAAGAAGGGCTGGGATGTCCCCTTGGAGGAAAACGTTACTGGTTGTAGCCCGGTTGGTCTAAGCCAGGGGTGGGCAAAATGCAGCCCGTGGGCCGAATGCGGCCCGCCAGGCCATGCTATCTGGCCTGTGGGGCCCTAAAAAATTTGGAAAATTAATATTTATCTGTCCCTGGCAACCTGCCATGCAGCCCTCGATGGCTTGCCAAAACTCAGTAAGTGGCCCTCTGCCCAAAGTAATTGCCCGCCCCTGATCTAAGCACATAGGCAGACAAAGTTCTTTGCATGGATGCAATATCTTTTATTAGACCAGCTAAAGAGTTGGAAAAATTGTTCTTTGCAAGCTTTTGGGGCACCAACACCCTTCTTCAAGCGTCGAGTCGCCAGCAGGCAGTTCACCAGCAAACTCTCTCCATGCCTGAAGAAGGGTATTTGTGCCCCAAATCCTGCAAAGAACAATTTCCCCAACTCTTTAGCAGGTCTGATAAAAGAGATCACATCTCCTCAAAGGTCCTTGTCTTCCTTGGAGGTCTGCCTTCAGACAGGTCACCCGCAGACTCTCCCTGTGCCTGAAGAAGGGGGGTTGTGCCCCAAATCTTGCAAAGAACAAGTTCCCTAACGCTTTCGCTGGTCTTATAGAAGAGATCCCGTTCACACCGAGACCTTTGGAGGTCTGCCGTGGAGGAGGGAGGCGACGTGTGTTGCTGCTTCGCGGGGGGAACCGGGACTCCGCAGAGGCTGCCAGGGGGAGAGGAGAGGGGCTAGCCCCGGGCGGGCAGTGCCCGAGCCCGGCGGGGGCGGGGGCGGAGCGGAGGGGCCGGGGCGGTGCCCGCACTGCAGCCGGGCATCGCAGCATGGAGCCGGGCGCGGAGCCGGAGCCGGAGCCGGAGCCGCAGCCCGGCTGCAGGCTGCGGACCCTCCCTCCTGCCCCGCTGCGCTGCGCCGCGCCGCACCGCATCGCCGGCCCCGGGCTTCCCTGCTCCTGGCTTGGGGCAGCGCCCAGCCCTGGTGCAGCAAAGCCCCCCGCCCTTGCCCCCAGGGAGCTGGGACCCTGCCTGCCCCCAGAGCCAGCGCTTGAGGCACCCAGCCAGGAAGCCAGATGCTCTGGAGGGGCAATGCCAGGTGTTCAGGCAAGAAAAGGAGAAAGACCAGGCAGGACTTGGACTAGTCGGGCACTCCCGGGGTGCCGCCTGCCTCCCGACCCATCTAGGTTACCTCTCTCCCTTGCTATAATTATTTTCCTTTCTGCTAGTCCATTCCTGGCAGCTCAGCCCCTTTTTTCCCCGGGGTCCCGACATCCCCAGGAATAAAGGCGGAGGTTTTCGAATGTGGAAGTCACTGGGAGTCCTGCCACTGACTTCAAAGTACTTGTCGATATACCTTGCATGGGGAAGAAAATCAGTGGTGAGCCTTCAAATGCTTCCCTGGAAGTAGCAATATTAAGATGAGCTGAGATAGGATCTGCCTATAAAAATGCATTTCTTTTGCGTGGCCTGTCTGTAAATCTGTAAACTTAACTGGGGGGGAGGTGTATCTGTGCCTGTACCTGAGTACGCTTTTAGATCCCAAACTTATGAAACTCAACAGCACCTGAGGATGTTGAGACCTGTCCCCCCCCCCAAGTTGATGACACAAATAGGAAATTTCTCTTGATTTCAAACAGTGCTGAAAGGGAGCCTTTTTTTTTCATGGGAACAGCTGTTGGGCGAATTATTTTTCTTGTGGTTTGAGTTTCCTTCCTATGACGAATAGAGCTGTACAGGAGGAAAGCTGTAAGGGCCCTAGCAGCAATGGGTGCGTCAGATTGGCCTTTGTACAGATATGCAGCATTAAAAACACCGCCCCAGACCCGGGTTGCAGTCCACAAGAACATATGTATGTACAGCCCCTAAACGGTGTATCAAAAGGGTAAGGAGACATGCAACGGGAGGGGGAAAAAAATCACCATTTAAGAAATTGTATCAGGGCAACATCACAGGGTAGAGCGAGCCAAACACGGCAGGTTCAGGAGAGGCCGTCCTAAACAGGCCTCTGTCAAAGGCGAGATGGGAGCCATGCCCGCTGGGCACTCGGTGCAGAGACTATATTTAGCAGCGTGCTCATGATGCTAGTCATTTTGCTGGCAGCCAGCACGGTGAACTGTGCATAAACAGCTGCCCCCGCATGAAGTCAGAAGGTTTGCAATATAGATCTCGGGGATTATCGTCCTGCCTCCCGTCTCTGTTATCTCGGCCAGTCTCGAATGATTGTACTTTTCATAGAGACTTCGGCTCTCCTCTTCCCCGAGGCCGAGCATGGATCAGGGGGAGCAGGAGCTCCATCGCCAGGACATTGGAAAGTTGGATTTGTTCTGCAGGGGAGCTCCAGTGGGGTGGATCAGAGTCGGTGACTGGAGCCCAGCACCCCGTTCCCCTCGTTACTGCTCCCTCACATGAGCGCTTCAATACTAGGCTTCCTTTTGTCAGATTCATCTCTCCACGTGGTTGCTCCTTGCAGCTGGAGGAGTCACTCTGGGAGTCCACAGAGCTGCACAGATGGGAGGTCGGGAGAGCTAAAGTAGATCCATCACACTGCCGAATAGCAGGGTAGCAGAGTCCGGGCAACAAGAGGAGAACAGGGCAGGAAGAAATCTCTCCTTGGGAACATCCCTAGCGCATGCCTAGATACATATTTCCACTGCCTTAGACCAAATTGCAGGAAAGCCAGGTCACACTCCTCTGCAACGGATAGTATTATATCCCAAAGACTGTGACAGTTCTCATGTACGTTCCCACAGGAAGGCAGTACCTTCCCCATCCCTGCTCCTTTTCTCCAGTTGATTGTTTAGGAAACTCAAATGGGGTCCTGGCAAGGCCGAGGATAGTGACTGATGCTTGCTTGAAAATGCTGGAAGTTTCAAAGGGCCAACAAGCTCCCCGCCCCCACGCTGCCCGGAAGAAAGGACCTAGTGCCAGTGGATTGCCCTCTCCTTTCTCTGTGACACATTGCAGATGCTTCCCAAAATATCTCGCGGCTGCTGCTGCTTCTGTCCATCGAGCAGACATGGAAGCTGAATCCGTCTGCAGAGCAGATTGCTGTAGCATAGGCCAGAAAGAGGATCTCTTGTAGCGGGGGTCTCTCTGCTGCAAAATGTAAGGTTTCCCCCATCCTTTGCTCTTCCGATGCTGTTGCAGTAATCATAAAGGCATCCCATCCAGCAGTTTCCGAGCAAATTTGCCAACGAATTCAAGTAACCCCAAGTATTCAAGAATAATGAAACAGGTCCCAAGAGTCAGGAGCTCCGCTTATCAGGAGCTCCTCATCATGATCGTTACTGCTGTTATTATTAACATGCTTATTAGCCTTGGTAGTATGTAATTATCATCATGATATTTGCCTCCTGGTTTTTGAGATTGACATGTTATCTATTTCAAGCTGTACTTTTCAACCACGAGAGCTAGAAACGTGCTTTGTTTTTTGAACTCATGAGATTTGCCTGTAATCACGGGAGATGGGGCTTTCAGAAAGGAGTTCATGTGCG